CTGTGAAAAGATCACTTCTATACAAAAGGGAATGAGTACAACAATATAATGTGTTAGTCTTTGCTTCAACTGTTGCTTAAATATCCGCATCAGCATCAGTTCTTGAGAAATGTACGTTTAAAATACACTTCTGACCCGAAAGTAAAGAAACACTCTGGGAAGAAATAAAACCAAGTCTTTCAGTTTCTTCTGTAGTTTGGGATTTGAATCTCTGGGACTCATTTTCCTTCTTCTGTGTTGTGTGAATTAACATCACAGCAGGAAAATAATGAATACTTTCAAACCCCTCTGTCTCCTCTTCCTCACCAGGCCTCTGCGGCAGCATGAACTTCGACGAATCCAGTGAAAACGAGGATGATATGGAGGAAGAACGGACACGTTCACTGTCTCCTCATGCAGAATCCACCAGGCCTGAGTCTGCTGCCAGCGGCAAGGACGTTTCAGTGAGTCACCAACGAGCCTCGGATGTAGACCACACAATCCCAATCCCAGCCAAATGACTCAAATGTCCATGTGTCCCTCTACCCAGGAGGTTGTGACCCCAGGGTCCCCCACACCAGACAGCTCGCTAATCGACGTGGCGAATCTCGAGGAGTTCGTCCTCCGTCCAGCTCCACGTGGCATCACGGTGAAATGTCGAATCACCCGGGACAAGAAGGGCATGGACCGCGGCCTCTACCCCACCTACTTCATGCACATGGAGAGAGAGGACGGCAAGAAGGTGAGTGAGGACCGTGTTATTGTGAGATAGAATTTTATCTCTAGTGGAGTTTTTGTAGAGACGTTTATCTGATCAGAGTGAATTCTCCTCTTTTTTCAGGTGTTTCTGTTGGCAGGCAGGAAGAGGAAGAAGAGTAAGACGTCCAACTACCTTATTTCAGTGGACGCCACGGACCTGTCTCGTGAGGGAGAGAGCTTCATCGGTAAACTGAGGTAAAACCACAACCTCCTCTTAGATTTGCCTGCTTGTCAATAGCAAACCATACATTGGGCATGAGGTGTAAACAGGAAGCGGATTGTTTACTCTGCAGTTTTCTGTGAGGACGTAGCCTCAGGTACAGCTCTGTGCTGTGATTGGGTTTAACTGGGTACAAAGTATAAATTTGAACCTCTGTGCTTTCGTGTTTCACAGTGTTTTTTGTTTCTGCCAGTGCACGTGAAGCAAAAATAAAAAATGCTGCCAGCAGAAGAATAATGTGAAATGTTATGAACATTCCAACATCGACGTGTTTTCTTACAGGTCCAACCTCATGGGCACCAAATTCACCGTGTACGACAATGGCACCAATCCCTGCAAAAACCCCGGGGCTCTGCTGGAAGAGAGTAACACGAGACAGGAACTGGCCGCCATCTGCTACGTGAGTGAAAGACGAGCAACGCTCAGTGTGTCTCCTGTTCATTCATTATATGAAGCCAACCTCTCCGTACCGTTTGGCAGGAAACCAACGTGCTGGGATTCAAAGGACCACGTAAGATGACTGTCATCATCCCGGGCATGAACATGAACTTTGAGAGAGTTCCTGTGAGACCTCAAAGTGTAAGTGTGACGGTTCTGTAAGATCCTCAGAACATTATCATACTATTATTTTGCACAAACCTGTTGTTCAGCTGTTAGAATGAATGTATTTGTGTGACAGGAGCAGGAGAGCCTCCTCAGCAGGTGCCACAATCACACCCTGGACAACCTGATAGAGCTGCACAACAAGGCTCCGGTGTGGAACGACGACACACAGTCGTACGTGCTCAACTTCCACGGCCGCGTCACTCAAGCTTCAGTGAAAAACTTTCAAATAGTTCACGACAACGACCGTGAGTACACGTCCGTCACCATTATTGTTGTCAAGAGGATTACACAAAAACTATTCAATGTAAATATTCAGGGAACCAGAATCTATGAGTGAGTTCAATTCGGTGTTTTAAATTTAAATAATAATTGCATACTTGTTGCATATTTAATCGAGTCTGTTTCCTCTCAAACCAGCCGACTACATCGTCATGCAGTTTGGCCGAGTGGCTGAAGACATCTTCACTCTGGACTACAACTATCCCATGTGCGCCCTTCAAGCCTTCGCCATCGGCCTGTCGAGCTTTGACAGCAAGTTGGCCTGCGAATGAGCCGCCGGCTTTTACTCGCACGCACAACCTCTGCTGTCCGTCCTCAGATCTCCTCTCGGGAGAGGTCGACGGCAGCACCGCTGTCACGTGGTCGTCATCGGGACTCACACGGATGAAAAAGAAAAAACAGTGATGAGACTGAAAAGAAGACGTTTGTCACAGGTGTTGGTGAATCAAACAACTCTCCTGGTTCCTGTTTGAGTTTTTTGTTCCATTTTTAGTTTGTTTCATGATCAGTTTTTACCCGTTGTGTACTGTAAATGTGTACAAATACACGCGTGTACAAAGCGAAAGGGAAATACACACTGTGCTGGAGACAGGAGCTCTGACCCTGTTTGAGGACATGCGTATTCATCGTCTTTTGTGTCACCTTGACATTTCGTTTCAGTCACTGTAGATGTCAACACTCGTCTGGCGCCACCTGCTGGTCAAACTTTATATCTGTCAGTAATAAGTTGCTTTTCATCATTTTCCTCTTTGGTGTGAAATCTAGTTTGGTTTTAATCCTGTTCACACAGGTCTGTATGATTTCAGTAGCCTTCAATTATAGCTCAGTTTAACCTCCTCTCTTTGTGTCGTCATCCCTCTGATTTGTTCTCGTGTGGAAGGTGCATTATTCAGGACAGACCTGTTTTTTGAAAGTATCATTTTTTTATCCTGTGACTTTGTTACTTACTTTTTCCTTTTGTCTTTAAGATAATTTGTATGATGGTAAAAAAACAACAACAAAAAAACAAACGCAGAATTGCACATTTTAAGAAAAGATATACATATTGTATATAAAAGACAATGTAATATGACGGATTTAAGTTAATCGCTGATAGATCATATATTCATGGCTACACAGAAAGAATTTACCCAGGATCACTTTAAAACTTCTTCCACAGTCGACTGAAGATTAAAGTGATGTTTTATTGAGTTGAGATGAAGTCGGGGGCCGTTTATTTAAAGTCCAGATCTCGTCTGTTTCAACGTTCATCTCTCTCTTTTGAATTATGAGGGAAAATAAAAGGGACGGTTTAGTTTATGAGGCTTTACTTTGTCATGTATCATCACTAATACTGAACTGTATATTACGCACAGTTACTTTTTATTTGGTTTCATCTGGATCCTTAAACGAAAAAGTCTCGAGCGGGGTCTTCTGCTGAAGATACTCTTCAGGGAGCGCAACTCGCAAACTCACAGATATCTGGTTTTAAAGGAATTAATGTTGCAGATATTTTCAAAATATCTGTGCCAGCGGTTTATAGAAAATCATGTTTTATACCTAAAAATGTTGGTTTGAAGACAGAATCAAGATTTATAGAAGCTATTTTCAAACACTTTTACAATAAGAGACTCCATTTGAAACGAACACTATCAGGTATATGTTTGTATTTTAACAGATGACAATATGACGCTAAAACTTCTCGATCAAGTAAACACAGTGAGACGTGAATGTATCCGGTGAACTGTTTATTTTCCTAAATGGAACAGTTGTCAATTTGATTTCAGAACATCTTTAAGGAGAAAAAACAAAAGTGCTTATTTAAATCAACGTAAAAAAAAAAGTTTAAATAACCAAAATAAAAGACATTTTGAAAAAATAAAGTGCTTGACATGTTTTGTTTCGGAATGAATTTTAACATTTGAGCTCATGTGTCTTTCAGGTAGAACTTCATTGCACATATTCTCTGTTTTGACATTTTTACGAGAGCAAACTGAACCTTTGCTGCAACTGCACCAAGTCATCGTACGACGGAACGCCTGTAACGCTTGAACACACTTTTCCTTTTGCTCCTCAAATATTGATCTCTCTGGGGAGGTCTTTGTACTTGATCAGGTAGTATGGGTAGCACTGGCAGCTGTCAAACACTACGAACATGGTGGGGTTGTCCATGTTGTCCACGCAGGTGTCGTAGAGGAGGTGCTTCGTCGTGGGGCAGAGCGGCGGAGGGCGACGGTAGTTGCTCCTCCCTTCGCTCGCCTTCCCCACCAGCACTTTAGCCAGGAACATGTGGCGGACCTCGTCGTGCCCCACCCTGGATGAATAAGCGTTGGACAAGGAGGCGGCGATGGCAAAGTAGGAGCCGAGACCGTAGGACGTCCCGTTGACGCCGGCCACGCGGGGGTCGAAGTTGTTGTGGCAGATGTCTGCGGCGGCCTCTCTGGTTGTGCCGTGGAAGAGGTGTCTCTCCAGAGAATCTTTGGACGTGTGCTGCTGCTGCATGTGCGACTTGTGCCTGCAACGACAACGCTGTTTTCAGACGGGGACTGAGGCGCGGACACTTTCCACAGTTCTTGTCTAAAAACGCACATTTCATTTTTCCGTGCAACTGTTGAATTTACCTTTGGTACTTGTCCCAGTGCAGGAGGTTCTGGACCTGATGGATGCTGATGACGTCCACCTTGGTCTCAGACAGGCTCTGGTAAAAGAAGCTGCGGACCCTGCTGTGGGCCTGCGTCCCCGCCGGGACATCTACCACGTTGCACTCCTCCTCTGGGGTTGGACACCACACCGGAGGATACCAGGAGCTGAACTCCTCCAGAGGGTCCACGCTGAAGTGAGCCCCTGGCGGATCGCCATCAGGCCTGGTGGGCTCGGTCTGGATTCCAGTCCTGGTGTTTGGGAAGAGGAGAGAAAGGATGTTAACGTGACGAAGAGGAACTTTGAGTTGATTATCAGTAAGTATCATGATTTCATCGTAGACTGAGGGTTTGAGTGTGAGCTCTGTTTTCCAGCTCTATGGGCTGAGAAGTCAGAATAAAGATCCAGGATATTAACTGCAGGAAAGGCTGCATGGCCTCCGGGCGGCGGTACTTTGGCCGGCAGCGAACTTCTCTCTGGAACCCGGTGGAGACGTTGGTCTGGGTCATGGTGGTGAAGTCCAGCTTGTACTCCTGCAGGCCGATGAGGAAGGAACACTCGGGCACCTTCTCACCCATCTTCTTCAGCAGCAGCACGGACACGTTCTGCAGGGAGAGGAACCAATCAGCGAACAGGACGCCGCTGAGAAAAACATGTACAGTAAAAGAAGAACATTAACCTTCTTGTATTCTTCCCAGCCGCTGTTGTTCCACCAGTAGATCTTCCATTTGCTGGGGAAGTACGGGTTCCTGTCGGAGTTGGTGAGTCGTCTCACTCTGTTGTACTTCGACAGGTCGTCCAGCTCCATCGATTCAAAGTTCAACGTGTAGCTCACGTGTCTACAGGGTTAAAGGGAGAAGCAGAAGATTTCAATTCACACCTTGCAGCTGTTGTTTTTGACTCAGGCAGCTCTGACTCACCCGTCCCTGATCGATACCACCTCCTGGGCGGCGTCGCAGTAGATCCGCTCCAGCAGGACCTGAGAGCGAAGCGAGATGCTGACCCACAGCTTGGTGAGCGTGCAAAACAGCTGCCAGTGGTAGGGGAAGGGCGTGTGGTGCTTCCTGCACCTCCTCCCCGCGAGACACATTCCTAATAGGAACCTGTCGCAGATGTCCACGTCAGAGGAGGTCCTGGTGTGGAAAGGAAAGGGGACAAGGGCTTGGGAAGGGGCTGGCGGCTTGGTTGGTGCAGGAGGTGGGGTCTGGACGACAGGTAGGGCCCATTTGCTGGTCCTGGCGCTGGGCTGATGGGTCGGCTGGCGTTGGGCGATGATGAGCGGCAGCGGGACGATGAGGGAGGTAGTCGGCTTCGTAGGATCTTTCTGTGGTTGGCATGGCGATACCTGGATGCCGGTTTGAGAGAAGGCGAGCTGGACACCGGGGTGGCTCAGGGAGGCGTCATGTTGCTGAGCAACCGACTGGATGAACACCTGAGGCTGCTGGGTCACAGAGGAAAACGCGGAGGCGCTCTCACTCCTGATGGAGGCGGCATCCTTACCACGCCTGGAGGTCGCCGGGGTCAAGTGAATCCCGACGCTGTAGGCGTTGACGCTCCAGGCGACGTCGACGCTCTGGGATCTCAGGGCATCCCACAAGGGGAGGCTGACGTTGGTGTCGGGGGGGATCTCCACCAGGAGGAGGGACGGGTGAGGGAGGGTGACCTTGGACGATTTGGCTTGATTTAACTCGAGAACATCGGCTGACATGTTTCTCTTCAGTCCTTGGCTGGATGAGACGTTGGCCATCTTGAATTTCCTTTATCACTTTTTTAAATTCAGAAGAACCGGAGTTAAAATCAACATAACAACATGTGAGACTCGTTTAACCAGATTATAGATATATTCAAAACAGTAAAGAACTAAGCTGATGCTATTTGAAGGGAATGATAAACATATTAATTTAAATGTCTCTGAATATTTAAGTGCATATTTGCATCCACTGGAAAACCATGATTTCACTGAGCCTCTGAACCTCCAGTAAACAACATGAACTTTTAAACACGTGTTTAAAACACAGTTATACGTCTTTTATGAGCCACATGCTCTGTTAGCACAGCAGCTAATGAGGCGAGGTAACAACTGATCAACAGGAGAAACTGATGGAAACTGAAGAACTTTACCTGGAGTCGTGTTCAGGCTGCAGCTGCTCAGTTCAACCTCAGAGAAACAAAGTGATTCACACGTGAACTCAACTTTAACTCGTGTTGAAGTGATTTCAATAAAGAGGAGGAGGAGGAGGCAGGAAGCAGAATGGGAGGAAGGAAGGGAGGAAGGAAGGAGTGAAGGAATCCAACAAATTAAAATAAGAAATGCTGACTTAAATAATAAAGTACATATATGGACTATAAACAAATGGTATCCTCACATTATCTAGCCC